AAAATAAACTATATATAGTCGGTTGTAAAACATTTTTCTCATATATATGTATATATTTCTTTTAATATGGGGAAATTTTGAAGAAAAAGGATTGATTTTAGGTTAAATTTTTAATTTGATCTTTAAACTATTATATGGACGCTTAATTTAGTCTTTAAATTTAAAAAAAATTTAATTTAGTCTTTAAATTATTGTACAGATCTTTGATATAATCTTTATTGTTTATCAACTTACCTCAAGTTGATTATTCTATACAAAATAACTAATGTGTTTTATTATTAACGTGACACGTGATCGTTAAATTATTGTTTTTCATCGTTAAATATTAAACACGTCAATTTTTTTATATGAAATGATTAATTTACGGTAAATTAATAAGTAAAAATGACCCAATGAGAATCCATATAATAATTTAAGGATCAAAATCAAAAATTTTTTTAATTTAAAAATCAAATCAAAAATTTATATAATAATTCAGGACCAAATTAAAAATCTAACTTTGGTTTTACAAAGATTGAAATTAAAGTCTCAACTTTAGTGCCAACGTAACTGGTGCTGCTTGCCTAATGGAAGATATGGAAGATTTCTTTCTTTCTTCTTTTGGTTAATTCGAACCCCACGTCTCTAGATAAAAATACCCTTATCAAGAAATAGTAGAAAAAATTAATTGGTGACATTGGGGTTCTGACAGGTGGCTAGTTGAATTTCGGTAGATTCACGTGAGGATTAGTTGGACGTCACGTCAGAGTCACGTCAGAGTCACGTCAGGATTCTTTATGATAAGAGAAAGAAAATTTAAAATAAAAATTTAAGATTAATGATAATGTATATATCAACTTATTGCAGAAGAGTTGGATCAAGTGGTAAGCGGCTTGTTCCAGTTTAAGTAAACTCTTGAGTTCGAGTCCTTGTATACACAGCCGCCTTCGTTGGGAAACTCACCCATCATTTTCAGGTGCGCAACTTAGGTCGGATCCAGATTAGTCGAGGCAAAACCCCGAATACCAAGTGAGAAACCGAAAAAAAAAAAACTTATTGCACCTAGGCTGTGAAGTATAACGAATCATAGATCGATTTGTAAAATACATCTCTCAACTTAAAAAGGTTAAGGTTGGATTTTTTCCTCTTAGTAACTTTGTTAAAAATATATATATATATATATAAACTTATTAAATTAATTATTATATA